CAATCTGATTGTTTCTATCGATTCCCATGCAGTGACATGTTTGCCGATTTTAGTGCGATATGAGGATGTTTTTCCTTTACAATAGTGTTATTAAAACTGCTAATAATACATTTTGTAGCTCTAATAAACATCTTTTGGCTACCTACCTTATACTTAGTCAAACATTTAAAATATTCAATGATATCAAAACAATATTATCATAATGAATAATATTTGAAAATTATATGTGAAAAGGCACACACAGCGTACTGAAATTTACACCGCGAAATTTACGAATATAATTTATTAACATTCGAATACGCATATGCAAAAGATACTTGCATGCCAATTGCTGTAATCATATTATGACGTATCCGCGGTTCCCGATTCCATAAATTGGACAAATTATAATTATGCAGTGGGGCGGAAGGTAAACCGAACGATTTTCAATGTAGCGTGAGTCACAGACAAACAGACGTTTACATGCAACTACCCTCGTTACGGGCCATTAGATAAATCGATTTAATATTTCGCTTTTGTATGAATACAAAGTAGCTTTAAAATTGATTAAACATAAACTGTCTGTTCAGTTTTATGTTTTAATTTTCAGTTAATGTCTGAACAAAATCTGGAAAGATGGTAGACATACATCGCTACCACCTAGCTAATAATCAATGGGTTGTGGTTTATGTCGGACTTTGTCCCTGTACACCTGGATCTTAGATGCACGGTAAGAACGTCGAACCACCGCCTGCAGCTGAAAAGCTGTAAAGTTAAATAACGTATCGTTTCAGTCTGTACATTGTAGCATATCCAAAATAGGTCGACAACGCATTTTGTTGAGATGTTATACCTATATATTACATATATATTCGAGTATATCACCTGCTATCAATTTAACCTATGCTAGTCTGTCGCCTATCATAACACAATCAAATTTTATAATTCATATATAAAATGAGAGTCTTAAAGAGTCTTCATACAAAAGAATCCTCACTTCAAACCTGTTGTGTAAATGCGTACATGTAAACACAATCACCTACGTGGGAATGTACTACACATTGTTTTAATTACGACGCGTCGGGCGGAATCCGCTTTGTTAACTCTGTGCTTACTGCAGCACCTACTCTTCCCTACGCAAAATCCGTATATTTCTGTGAAGTTGCCATCCTTTTTATTGATTAATAAGGATGGAATTGCAATTTATTTATTTGAAAACTTTAATATTTTTTACATGTTATTTCACATGAGGGCACTATATAAATTATAAATTGAAAAAAAATTACGACTCGGGCAGGATTTGATCTGGTAACCAAGTACAAAGCGTTCCGTGTCATACACGTCATCGTCGAATTTTTTCAACCAATTGATACATGCAACTCTCGTGCTATGTAATTTCAACTTTAACACTTGCGTATTATAGAATTTAATTTATATATAGTCGTAAAATAAACAATAACAATAACTAATATATTTCGCGCTTACACTGTCTAAAACTGTTCAATTTTAATAACGTTTCCAGTTCTTATCTGCCTTCACGATCCACTCTAGCACCAATAGTTCCTTTTCTCCTTTTTCCCTTTACATCGGGTTGCCAAGAAGAGATCGCTGTTTAGCGATAAAATCGCCATTTACTTATAGGCTAGTTCATAAGTTTTATTCATCTAAACCATCTCTGTGATATTTATAATTAATAAATTAAAAAAGATCGCCTAATTATGTAATTAAGTTATTAATAACATGTAGAAAATTAACGGACTGGTTTAAAAGTGCTTTGTAGTTGACAATAACATCATAGCTCTCGGCGACACAGCAGGTGACAGGCCGTGCGAGATTTATGAGGACACCTAACACAGAAGCTATCATTTATGTTGCAATAAGCTCACGACATGCTCGTGTTATGTACGTCTATATCACTTTAACAAACATAACCCGACGGAATGACTCGGAAGTGCGAACTGTGGTATATGCACGTATAATGTGTAACATTACTATAAAATCAAATTACTAAATAGTACACAATAATATAAAGTATATTTTTGTTATAACAACATGCTCTGCCGACTTATTTTAGCCTTGCAAATTCGTAAATCCACAGACTGAAAAGGAAACGCGATTAAGCTTCTACCTACCTTCCTTCCTACCACCGATTTATCCAAATTTCTAGACGAAGTCCAGCATGTTTCTAAATATTATAAATTGGTAAGAATGACACGGTGGCGAACCAACGACCCGTTGAGCCATACAATGCTATCTTTACACTAACGAGTAACAGTACGCTGTTCATGTAAAAAATATAGATCTTACAATTTATTTCGATAATTATAACGATACACTAAGTTAAACCAAGTACACGAAAACTTAACAAGTTCAGTGATTATTTCCACTACGCCGTCACCGGGTAACTGATGGATTACTGTCCATCGCTCGCGAAGTTTACGCGCCTTTTGTTTTCCTCTCTGTTGTCGTTGGTCTACTTATGATCTTGCAAAGAGTTCGTCTTTGCAAAAATACTGGTTTCGAGAATACCAGCTTGCACAACTATAGGTATACCTAATCAATTGGAGGTGCAACGTATTTTTTATCAAATCAAATCAAAAATCAATTGTTTATATAGACGAGCTACCTACACACACACTAACACACACACACACACACACACATACATACAAACACACACGTACACACTATGAACGTCAAAACAGTTAAAATTTTAAATATACATTTACTGCCAGTTCCCAAATTAAGGGCGTAGAATGAACATATTATATTGTTCACTGCTGCGAAAAGCTATAGTAAATATATAAGTATGCTCGCCTCTATAGCTTAATGGTTGAACGTGTTGCCTAGCAGTGTGTTAAGTGCGAGAGGTACGAAATTCCCGAGAAAAAAATATTGTTTCGGTCGGACATAGCACAAAGCCAACTAATGAATTGTTTGCCAATGGTAGCGATTTATGACTTAAAATGATATTTGGTACCAAATAGATCACCTAACCCCCGACCGGGGAAAAAAAATAAAAAAAAAAAAAAAAAGGAAAAAGGGGGGGAAAAAAAGAGGGGGGGGGGGGGGGGGGGGGGCGGCTCTTTTAAAAAGAAAAAATTTTAAAATTTTTTGCCAGTGGGGGGGGTTTTTGGGGGTTTATTAATAAATTTTGTTGCAAATAAATCACCAACCCCCGTTCTACACAATGGCCAACACGTATTGGCTAATACATTCGCCAAAATGTTGGCTAACTTGTAGAGCCGCCATAAGACCGGTCGTGTCGTTCGTGGTTTTGATTCCCACCGAGTTCATAATTTTTCTAAAATAATTGTATAGTTTTTCTAAACGCCTATTTATTTGTAGCCTTTTTTTAAAGCCCTAAATATTTCGACAGTCTTAAAAAGAAAGACTTTGTGTGAGGATTCCACGTCACACTGTCTTGACTTCTATCATTGCGGCAGCAGCATCGCAATTATCACATTTCATAAGCTCCTTCTTTTAAATCAAACACTTTCAACGATTTAAAAACGCGAAACATAAGCAACCGGAATGTCAAGTCATAGTAAAAATTAGTTAACTTATATATCTCGTGTTTTAAACCGTTGAAAGTGTTTTATTTAAAAGCTACAACCTGTATTAAGACAGCCAGTATCCTAATATTAGATATTTTTGAACCATTGGATATAATACAAAAATTATGCAATTCAAATATGTAATTACTGTGCGGTTTTCTTAACGAACCTTGTAGAACTAACCTTTTTTCTAGACGGGGGTTGTTGGTATTTCAAGGCCAACTCATTAGGGCAAACGGCTGGCGGCGTGGGTTGGATAATGACGCTAGCCGATATCCTTATTTACTGCAAATTGCGTTCCGCCCGATACGAGACTCATTTGGCCGATGTGAGCCCGGCTCATTCGCGCTTCTACAAACTAATGTATTCGGAATTGATTGTTTCGTTAAAGAGTTTTGGTAACGTTATCACGTAATTCTCTTTTAATTAAGCTGTGAAATTCAATGTTTGATCTACGCAAACTTTCCGTAACATTTCCCTTGCACAATATCTTTATACTAAAAGGCAACTCTAGTGATAGGCCATTTTTGTCATAGCTACATATATATATACTTATATAAGTATTTCACAATTATTATCTCTATGATCATAAATTATTAAACTAAAATAAGAAAACTTATTGTAATATGTCGGCGTATAAACATCCGAAGCGCTTCAAATATTACCCAATTCCTTATAACTTAAATTTTGTTCCACGTCGACAACAAACGTCGATCATAACATTTTACATATGTTTTATGTACGCAACATATTGCTTAGAACCCTTCGAGCTAATATCGGTATATTTTCTCTTAAACGTACGATATTTTTATTATATTCAGACCAACAATTCCCTATGTTGAAAGTATTTTTAAATAAAACACTTTAACGATTCAAACGCGAAATATATGTATAAGTTAGAGTTATTAATAAATTATTTTAACCACGGCCCAAACTTTCCGATGCTTTGTATCAGCTTTGGTCACGTAGCCACTAATATTTTTCGAGTTTTAAACCGTTAAAAATGTTTTATTTATAGGTGTAATACTCGCATAAAATGCAAACAGTATAACGGTATTTTATTTTAAAAAATCCTTCTCCAAAAAAACAAAACTTTTAAGTGTTCAGTAAGTATGATAGTAATATGACATTTTTTAAATATAACACTTTTTTAAAACGCGATATATTAGTTAAACTTATTTGAAAATGATTTTAAACTTCGGCCCGACGTTTCGGATGCTTTGCAGCAGCCGTGGTCACCAGGGTTAAAGTGTTTTATTTAAATGTGTACTACTCGCGTAAACTATAGACAGTATTTAACATGACATTTTTTTCTCAACGGAAAGTGGTCTATGTGGTTATCTACACCAAACTTCATCAATATCAATAAAGCTCAACACAACACACATTATCACAGAAGGTGAATTACAAAATAAAATGACTTTACTCCAAATATAACGCGCATATTTTTGTCCACAGATAACAATGGCGAATTTCAGAAGACCCGCACACAACGACAGAGCTTTCAGAATATCAACTGTAAGTAAAGTTTAGCTCGTTAGTCTTTAGGCGCACTAACTGCGTTAATTAGACGTGTTGGTGTAGACATGTCTGTTTCAAAGCAGACAAATGTGCCTTATAGATGTTTACGAGGAACAATGAAAGATTTAACCAAATATATAACAAAAAATAAATAATCCTAAACTACATTAAAAGGAAGTTATAGATTATTATACAGGTATATAAACAAATGAGTCAAAAAAAATAGTTTGATGAGGAATGCTTAAGGCAATACATGTATTGTCGGGTCGCAGTAAAAGTAACTAATATAAAACCCGATGTTTTAACCCGTTCAAGATCTATAATTTAAACACATATCTTTATCTAACGTATATGAATGGAATATACGAAAGTGGGTGGTCTTTGTGCGGCAAAAAGACGCATTTAATCGTTCATTAAAGCAAAACAAATACGCGTGCTAAACAAAACAGGCGCGTGACAAACGAAAACTAGAAAAATATTTGAGTCAGAAACAAAAACGGCCATAAAGGCTGGTTTCCACGCCACTAACCCGTTCATAAATACAAGTCACGCCACACACGTCACATATGTACGAGGAACTGCAAACTACCTTCAAACAACCCCCGAAAAACGAACACACGCCTGTGTCATCCTGAATTTGTATTCATGAGCCGTGCCTCTACAGCTTTGAAAATTGTAAAAAACGGCGGAGTCGATCGCTGCCATCGAGCTGTGAGGTCACTCGCGACCCTTTCCGTTTCCGCTTTAATTGCGCTTTTATTTGTGCGTCGCGAACTCTTTTTTAACTTTGAAATTCACCCAGCTAACATATGGACAAGTTAAATAGAATTTTTCAAATATACGCTCGCAAATTCTCTTTCAAATAATCCAATATTTTATACTACTGTTAAAATTGACAGACAAGATAAATAAATACCAATACTAGACGGTAATTAAGTTGTCAAACTTTGTCAACAGTCCCGTAATAAAATCGTCACGGAGCGTAACCCATTACATTTAACTACGAGAAAACTAATTGAAGCTAAAGTTGCGTTCGGAGCGAAATCGCAAACGGAGAGGAAGAAAATAAAAATTAACGAGACCCGTCAAAAACACTGGGAATATTGGAGGCAGAACGAGAAATAACTCATTACTCATAATTAGCCTCGTAAACTTAATTTACTCCTAGTGATGTAGCCGGTACAAGCAATCTCGTTTAATTATGCCATTGAATTATTGGTGCCTCGCTGTAATAATTCCGTTTGAGGCAGTCTCTTGCGCTAGATTGCGAACGCTTACCAGAATGAGGTTTCCCGTACAAATAAGATTGGATAGTTTATGATTTGTCAAGTTGAGAATAAGTGGATTCCAAGTAAGTACTGCGCTCTTTTGTAAGCATTAATCGCACTTAGATTTTTGAAAGCCATTGAGCAATAAGCAATTGTTGAAATAAAATACAAAACATGAGTTAGCGACAAAAAAAAAGAAACGTCGAAAACAGAACATAAAAATAATCAACAAATTGAAACAGATCCGAATCCCCTGATCATAATGTGTCACAAGCTATTACACGAAGCTTCACAAATGATTCATGATGACACGACAAATTAGTCGAACGAAACTCGGCTAAGGAAAAATTCCATCGAACGGAAAACGAAGCGTTAATAGCCAGCTAATGTGACAGCTAATTTCCTGAAAGAAACGCCCCACCTTCGAGGTTTTTATTGTCCGTATCGAGAGTCTCGTCACGAACCGAACCCCCTCAAGGGGTGCAGTCATCAAGCCCGAAAACTTGCGAATTAAAACGTGCTTAGATTCTTAGTGCAAAAGTTGGAATCGACGAGATTGTTCCTGCTAAGTTTTCGAATCCATTAATTTCTGAAGTCGCTCCTTCAGATCCTTTCGACTATCTCTCGGTAGATCGATGTTTACGGATCGAATTTAAATAATAAGATGCAAAATATGTACGTTGGATGTTAATGATTTCATTGGCAGTATTGACGGTTCGAGAGCCCATTTCATCGTAAGCAAACAAGGCAGCTTGTTACTAGATTTTAATTAGTGCCATTGATGTCATGGATATAAAACGGCGGGGCGTTATGAAGTAGCAATCGAAGCTAGTTCACGAACTGCGATTTCATCGAGTCTCGAAACATAACAGCTGAGAGCTAAGAGCACTAGAGCACAGAGCTCCACCGCAGCCCTAAACAGACGCCGTTGAAACTAATTGGCGCTGAACTGAGCCTCAGATTGCAGTCTCTAAGATCTGCTAGTCACGTAGCTACAACTTTCTAAGGATTGTAGTTTCTGAATGCACTTGGATGTCTTAGAGATTTAAGTGTGCAGCAGGAAACCTTTCCGGCTATATACATTAACTCGATTATCTCAACCTTCTTGACGCGAACCGAAATTCGTTAATGATTAACCATGAACCGTAATATAATACATAATTATTTTTAATTGTGTAAATACTCGTTCTATTGTAATATTTAGGTACTATTAAAATTGAGCAAAACCAATTAAATGAAACATTTTTAATATGCCAAATTTGTAATATATAATTCATTCGGATGGTACCGAATGAATTTAAAATTTCGCGTTTTAAAGCGTTATATGTATTTAGTTTAATCAAAACAGCTGCTTTATTTCGTTGGTGTTTCAACTAGTAAATAAAATTAGACAGTCGACACTGTCGTCTGTACAATATGAACAAGTTTGTCGTGAGCCACTAATGTCAAGTCTAGTTAAGAAGTATGTACGCGGTAGGTACAGGTACAGTAGATCCGCGCATTTTGCACATCTTACTTCAACTAATCGAAGATCTGTATAATCTATTGCTGTTGGAGGTATTATTTTAATAAGTAGTGTGTGTTGTTGTTTGTTAGTTAATATTTAACAGTTTGTTAGTATACAATAGCAAGTTCGGGTTAGGTGAAATTTCTTATCTTTCTCATCACGATAACTTCTAACATCAGCCTGAGCTTAGAAGTAACGTCATCATCCCCGTTCCTTGGAGAGCATTGTAAGCCGTCAATCCTTACTACTTTAATGATGGTACTCATTAAAGTCTGCCAACTATCAGCAGCAGGGTCGGTTTATGTTCTTAAATTCTTCTATTATGAGAGAGACACGTCCCCAGGACTTACGGTTAAAACAATCGTGCCTACAAAATTCAAAACCGTATCTTTAGTCGCTACTAGCGCAATGAAAGTATGAGCAAGAATTGTCCTTTTTAAAAAGGCGTTGAAGTGGAACGGCAGATCATATTCCAAGCCATTTATTCGCAAATCAAGTTATTGCTCGCTTTACACAGGTTATTTGTGGGAATTGCAAATTTCTGAACGTAGATAAAGAGATTAAAGAGGCTACACTTTTTACTTGCTCATTCATCATTTTATGTAAGCAATGGTCTTTTTATGGAATGTGGAATACCCCAGCCATATAACATCAACACGATGCTCTGTCGACCCATGGTTTTGGCTATGAATTTTCGGAAATCCATAGACTGAAACCAAAACGCGATTAAACTTTACGTTTTTATTATCTGTAGTTACATTAAACTACTTTTTCATAAAATACGTGGTATATTTTTCCAGTTTCACAAAAACTAACAATTTTCTGCTTTTGGACCGTGAAGTCATATTTTAAAGTCTTGTTTAATATATTTCCCTGTCTTGAGGCGGCTATACGAAGTGCTGTAAAGAATATTATTGATGATGCTAGAACTGGGAAACGCTGAAAGAGAGTAGCTGCGTGGCGAATTACCCGACATTTTCATCCGTAACTACACTACATTTTCTCGCTTCGTATAAACGTACAACTTCTCAGAACTCTCTTTATATGTAATATAGCAAAATTAAAGGTTAATTTTTTCATGATATATAACAACAGACAAGCACTGAGTTCATGTGTTAGAAGATGATTACTCCAGCCATATCAAATGTAAACAAGATGTGCTGTCGATTTGGATTTGGTTAGATTTGGCTTTGTAATTTTAAGAAATTGTTCAACGTTGAAGTAATTTCGATAGTCCTACCACCTATTTAATCCACATTTCCAGTCGTGGTTCAGCATATAAAAAAAATGTTTTGGACACCTTGGACCTAATGAGAATAGAATCCACGACCCGTTGATTATTGACACCAACAAGCCTATCGAAATTATTCTATATATTATTATTTATTTAGTAACTTCATAATATAATATTAGTAAATTTTGTAAAATGCTTCGTAACGAATAATTATAATGCAACTGAAAACCGAAAGGCAAATAAATCTTACAATAATGTGTGATAATATTATTTAAAATCCGTTCCTGTATTTGTCTATCATACTTAATATGTAGACTAAAGATTGTAACGCTTATGCAATTATAAATAACAACAATTATATCTTTAAATAAAACACTTTAACGGTTTAAAACGCGATATATTAGTTAAACTTATTTGAAAATGATTTTTAACTTCGCCCAGACGTTTCGGATGCTTTGCAGCAGCCGTGGTCACGGGGAGACAAGATAAGTTTAACTAATATATCGCGTTTTAAACCGTTAAAGTGTTTTATTTAAATGTGTAGTACTCGCGTAAACTATAGACAGTATTTAACAATTATATACTAACTACCTCATCCCTATGTAAAAATTGTCAAATGTCGCTTCTATATGAGACGAGAACCGGTCTGGTATTGTTGTAAAATTAAAGTTAGCGTGCATTCCTGGCAACGTAATTTGTTTTGTATTTAAACTGCTCTTCTACGCGACTGTTTGTGGAAATTATCACAAAGGAGAATTGAGTTAAGCGAGTAACGCCGCGCGTTCCGGCACGGTTAAATTCATTTATTTTGCTACATGCACTTTTGCATATCGCAAATTAAATTAAGAGCCCGACTATGAATAACAGCGCGCCTGAAACCGTTACGGATGAAATTTGAAACAATTTTTTCAGTTCGGACTTGTATTAATCGATTTAGGAATATTGCCTTACTTTACCAATGGTGGCTTTACCAACTTTACAAATGAAA